AGGATCAGGAGAATGGAAAAGCAAGTATCCAATGTACTCATTACTAATATGAAACCAATAGAAAAACAACTACAGTCCCATTTGAGAGAAAAGCACAAGTATATTCAAGGGAGTGGGGAGGAAAGAGTGGGGGAAGGGAAAGAGTTAGAGGGATTGGGGAGCTCTCACCCAATGTGCACCATGTAGGGTATGCAGCACACACCCTGGATGAGGGGCTCAACTACAACTTGAATTTTACCTTAGAAATGCAAACAATGTACCCTCATATTAATGTGAGATGCAAACAGTGTACCCTCCTATTAATCTGAGATGAAAAAAAATGTAGTCTTAGCAGTCATTTTCTGCCCTTTTTACAATCTATTTTTCAATATCTAGCAGTATGAGATAATATAGTACCAAATGTAAGTGAAATAATAAAGGATAAGAATCAGAAGACCCAGCTTTTGTGAGGCAGGGTTTTTCCATTTCTAAGTGATGTTATTCTGAGGTTGTGCACATTATTGCTAGTTGATTAATTCAATGTGACATTGAATTATAACTAATTAAGTCAGGGTGAATGTGGGGTCCAGAGGCTGTGACTGCACATTTTATTGCTATTAACTGTATTAAATTTGGAGATTTTTCTTACCCAGGGAGGGAGGAAAAGAGAACCATTGAAAGAAACAAAATTGTATAGGAACTCATACTTCTTTGCAGTTATGAGTTGGGTAAATGTGCTGAAGCATAGCATCGAACAGCATATTTTAATAACTGCAAAAGTTTGAAATTTCAGTGATTACACCACCCCTGAGGATCAAACCCAAATTCTTCACACAAACTGACCCAACTACTTGCCATCATTCCGTTGCCAGAGTGATGTGCTGCAGGCCCTCCACACTCCCTGGGGCCTCTGCCTTTTTGGCTCATGCTGCACCTTTGAGAATGCCTCCTAATTCTTCCTCTCCATCTGAGCTCCATCTGGAATGCCCTCTTCTGTAAAACCTCTTTAGGAAACCTAACACTCTCTGGGTCCTTTCCTCCTTAAAATTCCTTGCACCTTGCATCTGGCTGCTATTTGACATTGTTCTGTTGTATTATTTATTTCACAGGGATCTGTGTGTCTTCTATGCACCAAGCTCTTGTACTACAAATGGAGCTGAAGAAGACAGGGTCCCTGTCCTGGTGGCATTCACCACTGCTTGGTAACAAATGCCAGAGTAGCACAGTGGTGCCATGGCAATTGTTTGTGCCAAGTACTGTACAATACTCATGCAACTGCTGGGTGCAGAATCACATCGCTCAGTCATCCCATCCTCTTATGTTTCTTATTTCTGACCTTCTAGTTCCTCCTTCTCATGCAAGAAAAACTTGCCCCCAGCACATTCTTCACCTCCGTGCTGCGGCCACCACCCTGGTCAGCTCAGACGCATGGGCATTGACTTTTTAGTTCCTTGACATCTTTATCCTTCATCTCCTATTCCTGTGGTCACTGCCCAACCAATCAACTTTGAAAATGACTCATTTCCTCCCTATACACAATTTTCTTTTTCTCCAATTTGCTTTTTTAAGTAGCCCTGCTATGACACTTCAATTTTACCGGTACTTTTATGACCCCTTCTTTTCCTCTCCATCCATAAACAACCCCATCTGTCATTACTTCCCTTGCTGTCCAGATTCAGCCTTGGCTCCCTTCACTATCCAATATCCTAGACTCTATTACCCTCTGACCTTTCCCAAATCCCTGGAAAACTCCCAGCCCAGTAATAAAGCAGCCATCTGTTCTTGTCATGTCTGCACGTGAGCAATTGAGTGTGGCTGGAGCAAAACAGGCCATGGGAAGATTTAAAGGAAACAGATTCATGATTAGTTAGCAGTTCTGGGTGTGCGGAGACTACAGAGACAGCAGACCCAGAATTTGGCTTGAAAGCCTGGATCTTCAACTCCTGTAATGTCTATTTTAAACCTAATTTTTTCCAATATGCAACTCTCTTGTTCTCAGTGCTCAACCTTACCTCACATCTTTACTGAGAAGTGAAAGGTATGGATGAACCCCTCTCCATCCACAACTCACAAAGACATGATCACTCACAATCTGAGTCTCTTCCTTCCCTTGGTTGTCATAGGGCTCCTCCTCCTCCTATCATGCTGCCACGGTGTGTTCCTTGCTCTGAAAGTCAGGCATGGGACCTGAACAGCACCCAGCCCTGGACACAGATGCTCAACAAACCACTTTTTGCTTCCGTTGGTGTCTCTGGGCTACTTTGTTCTTTCCAGCCAAGAGACTGATTCCTTGGAGACTCTAAGGGAGCACAGCAGCTGTACTCCCCCCTAATTAGTTCTATGCAAAAATGCTAGGACTTGATGTGTTGAACAATATATGTGAATAAACAGAACAAGGGGAGGAGAAAGGAGGAAAGACGGAAAAGACGAGGGTAGCAGGAGCTCCTGAGTGTGTGCTCTCAGGACTAGCTGGACTCAGTTTTGCTCACTGTAACAGGTATTATGGAAGGATGTGGCAAATACCAACTGTAACATGCTCTACAGATGCTCGAATCAGCATAGTGAGCTCTCACCTAATGGGCACAGTGTAAGGGAATACAACACACACCCTGGGTGAGGGGCTCGACTATAACTTGAACTTGACCTTAGAAATACAATGTATCCTAATCATTTGTACCCTTATATTAATCTGAAATTTTAAAAAAGGAAAAAAGAATTCCAAGGAATAAACAGCAGACACTGGCTTATCAAACTCATCAGTTTATAAATCCACAACATATCAAAGAAATGCTAGTCACTGAGAGTGAATGAGAAATGCCATGCTAACCATTTCCTTCACATGGTCCTCCTCTTCCCCTTCACAGTATTAACACCTTACAATCTTTTACAGTCCTGCTTTCATTTCTTACCTCTAGAAAGCTTCCCCAAGTGCTAGGGATAGTCACTCCTTGCTCAGTGTTCCCACAGCCAATGGACAAATTGGCCAGGACAGGTATCAACACAGGCTGACGCTTACATATTCCACCATCACTCTATGCTCCGAGTCATAGCAATCTGCCAACTCACCATGACAAGTCCAGCACCCAGGATAATTCCTAAGACTCCAGATCATGCTTCTGGACTGAATGAATGGATGGATGAGGCCAGATGAGAAACTGCAGAAGGATGGATGAAGCACATGGGAGCTACACCTTCAGTTCCAATACTGTCTACACATCTTAGTACCTACGCCTAGGGCCTCCTTGAGGCCTCTCTCACTCTCTCGTAACCACCTCACCTCACTTCTCAGCAATGTCTGCTCCAGTCTATATTCTGTGCTGATTGATCAATCCCTACTGGTCTCACTTGGCTGAAAGAGGTGGCGGGTGCCACCAGTGCAGACCGTGGGGTGCTTGGCCACTCACCTTGCTTGCTGGCAGACGCAGCAGACCCAGGCTTTCTCATGCTTCTCGTAAGAGCAGCAGCTCTTGCAGACATTGAACTTGCAGTCTCCGCACTGGCGCTTGGTGTTGACCAGGAAGGTGAAAGGTGAGCAGCAGCGCATGCAGCAGTGCTCCACGAACTGCTGGTGCTTCGAGAGGATGCTGCACTTGCTGCCCTCCTCATCCAACTTCTGCTTCAGCTCGCTGGAGACAGGGCAGGGGAAGGGGGAACAGAGAAACAGCACATCAGGCCTGGGCAGTCACCCCACTCTGCCCCTCCCCCAGCCAAGCTACCACCTAGGACCTTGAACAATGAAACTCAGATCAGCCATGTGACATGATGACAACCAGAGAGGGAAGCCATTGGTGGGTAGTTTTATGTATTCCTATAAGTGATTTTGTCATGAAAACCTTATTACTTACATTTCAGAGACTACATTGAGATATAGATTATTAAGATACTAATAAGCACATCCTTGAAAAGGAAAGCCTTTAACTTAATTAATGCCTTTTTACAGGAGCAGGAGATCACTTATGATAAAACATTAATCCTCACAACAGCCCTGCTGGGAATATGATAAATGCAGTTCTGGCCCTGTTTAATGTCCCTGGAAACTGAAGTATCCAGGGATTTTAAAAGCTTTCAAATCAATGTGAGTCAATAGGATTCTCTGGGTGATGGACAGATCAAGGCCCTGGTGATTCAGAGTTGGATAAAAGACAATTTCCTTCTTCCCCAAAGCTCATGGTCATGCTGGGCACACAGCCAGGCATATTAATGCAAACCACGACAGCACATACCTTGTTCCCTGTGCTCAGTGAGAAGGAAAGGTGAATCCTTGAAAGAGGAGAATGTGCCCCAAACACACTGAAAGTAACCAAGTTTGAGTTCGTCCTGCTACAAAAATGGGGGCCCAGAAAGAGTGGTAGAAAATGTTTTTTCTATTGCCATTATTTTTACTACTATTTTACTCCCACTATGCTATCATTATTATAGTGGTAAGACACTGATGAGCTCCAACTTACGATGATTCAACTTACAATTTTTTAAAACTTTCTGATGATATGAACTTTATATGCATTCAGTAGGAGGAGGGAGAGAGTGATGTGATGCCCTCTGACAATGCTGGGCAGGGGCAGTGAGCCACAGCTCCCAGTCAGCCAGGTGATCAGGAGGGAGAACAACCAATACTCTATCTACAGTGTACTGAGTAGCCGGGTGATTTTGCACAACTGTAGGGTAATGTAAATAATTGGAGCATGTTTAGGTAGGCCAGAGTAAGCTAAGATGTTCAGTAGATTAAATGCATTTTTAACTTCCAGTATTTTCAGTTTATGATGAGTTTATCAGGACACAACTCCAGTGTAAATCCAGGAGCATGTGTACTATATTTTATGATTTATGTACTACATTATGTACTATATTTTATATTTATGTACTATATTTTATGATATTATTTTACTAATACAATAACTATTACTATCATTATTTCTCTGTACCCAGTTTATGATTATGCGATTCATACTGGATATATTGAAGATGTACACGGCAAATGTTTTCTCCTATTCTGTACTTGTACTTTTTATACTTACGGTGTTTTGTTAATCATTTAGAAGTGTTTAGTTTTTTTGTAGTTAAATCTGTCAGTCTTTTCTTTCATGGTCTCTGCACTTTAGATCTTGTTTAGGAAGGCCTATATCACCCCATCAGTTTTCATACGTACTGAATAGCCCCTGTAATGGACCAGCTGTTGGTCCTCCTGAAATATATGTCCATGCCCTAACTCACTGGAACCTGTAAACGTTACCTTTGAGATGTGATTAAGTTAAGGATCTTGAGATGCAGTTATCCAGGATTATCTAGGAGGGTTCTAAACACAATGACAACTGTCTTTTAAGAGACAGAGATGGCAATGTGAAGACAGAGGCAGATATTGGAGTGATCCAGCTGCAAGCCAGGAACACCAAGCTTGCCAGCAGCCATCAACAGCTAGGAAAGAGCCAGGGAACAGATTCTCCCCCAAGGCCCTAGGACAGGCCCTGCCAACACCTGGATTTCAGACTGCTGATCTCCAGAACAGTGAGACAACACATCTGTTCTGTTAAGCCACCTATTTGTGGTAAATTTGTTACAGCATCCCTGGAAAACTAATACAGTTCCTATTTAAAAAGAAAAAGGAAACACTATTCTAAACCTAAACTTCCTTCAATACTATATTCTCATCTGGTACCATCCTATAAACGGTCCTATCCTCTTAGAGTAAAAGTTTTTTCTGTTGTTTGTTTTTCTCAGAGTAAAAGGTTTTAAAAAAAAAAAACCCAATCATCTCTGGGGGTCAGCTATGTCCTGTTTTCTTACTCATGTCTGGGTTCCCTCTGATCTACTTTTGGTTCTTTTTCCTTAAAGGAAACAAAAGTACCATCCAGGATCCCGTTCACTTCCATATCACTAAATTCAAAGGGACCCTCTAGGCCTCATCTTACCTGATCATTCTCCCATTCTTGAAATGCTCTCCTCTTTTTTCGTCACTCTGTATTACTGTTTTCCTTATCCTTTTCTGCTTTTTTTACAAGTTCCAACTCCTATTCTGAATTTTTAAATGTTAGACAGGATTTTTAAGCCATGATAATTGGTCAGTGTAGATTATTTTCAGCAATGCATACAACCTTTTTCTTTCTTTCTTTTTTTTTAAGTAAATTTATTCCAGGTTGTTAATGTGAGGGTACAAACAACCCTCAAATATTTGATTTTGTTGAGTAGAGTCTCTCTTATGGTTATGTCCCACACAAAAAAGGTGCCAAACACCCTCACCCCATGCCCATTCAGTGACCCCTCTCCCTTCCTTCTCACCCCCTCCCCAACTTGAATTGAAATGAGTTTTTCTCCTTTGTGAGCATGCATCAGATTGTCTACTGTCTTCGTATTAGCATTAAGTACATTGGATAGTTTCTTTTCTATTCTTGTGATACTTCACTAAGAAGAATGTGTTTCAACTCCATCCAGGATATTACAAAAGACGTGAAGCCACCATATTTTTAATGGCTGAATAGTATTCCATGGTATGCATGTTCCACAATTTGTTAATCCATTCCTGAGTTAATATTTAGGTTGTTTTCACATCTTGGCAATTATAAATTGATCTGCAACAACCTTTTTCTGAATATTAAGTTTTTGAGGCATGAGCATGAATGTGATTAGAGGTGGTAGCCTTCTCTCCACCCTCCTGTCCCCAAGCACAAATAAATCCCTCCTTGCTTCACTGAAGTGGCAGATTCTCAGGGTGTAGTGGCTAACAGATGTTCATTAGCAATGGTTTATGGGTAGAAGACGGCTATGGAAGAGGAATTAGCTCCACACAGGACAGGAGCATGCTGCAGGCCCAGTTCTCAACCATCACTGCACCACCTCCTTCTGAGACCCTGCCATATTTGCTGCCCCATCTCTGACATCATTTTTCCATCTGCCTTCTCCCTTTTCTCTTTCTAGGCCCTCCACGGACCACCAGAGGAAAGTTCTCCAAACCCATGACCTAACTTGTAAACCATGGCTGCATATAAAGGAATCACCTTGCCTCACCAACCCACGAGGCCACAGGTAAGCAAAGAGGAAAATGATTAGAATTACGTGATTGTACTTGGAATTCTATATCCACCCCTTGCCCTTCGTTTGTTCTCTCGCTTTCCTGCCCCTGTGGTTTTAAAAAGGGATGATATTATACATACTGTTTTGATTTTGAAACCTAAAAACTGTCTTTTTGTGCTTAGATTTTTAAATGTATTGGTATCAATCTGATTCACAGATTTCCCTCATGCTTTTCAGATGTTGGGTATATCTATAATCATGCCTTCCTTTTCATTTTGAATATTACTTATTTGACCCTAAGCTTTTTTACCCCTTGATCAGTAAGTTTAGAAGATTATTTAGTTCATTAGTTTTAAGGAAGAACTAACTTTCATTTAGGTTGATGACTGTCTGTATTACTTCTTTATTCTCCATTGCAGTCAAGGCTAGTCTTGACTATTTTGTCCTTCTATCGGTTTGAGTCTTCTCTATTTTTTTTCTAACTTTTAAAAGTGAATTGTTAATGACATGAAGGCTATGTTAACCAGTTTGATGAAAATATTTCAAATTGTATATAAAAACAGCACATGGTACCCCATGACAGTATTAATGTACACAGCTATGATTTAATGATAAAAAAAGTGAATTTTTAAAAGTAAAGCTCATTTACTTTAAATGTCTTCTCCTTTCTAACATACACCGAAGGCCATAAAACTCTCTCAAAATATCTTTTTTGCTCTACCCTACAGGTTATGAATAATTTGGGGGGTTGTTTTTGAGTCAGAGTCTCACAATGTCACCCTGGGTAGAGTGCCGTGGCATCACAGCTGACAGCAACCTCCAACTCTTGGGCTTAGATGATTCTCTTGCTTCAGCCTCCCAAGCTGCTAGGACTACAGGTGCCTGCCACAATGCCTGGCTATTTTGTTGTTGTTGTTGCAGTTTGTTGTTTAGCTGGCCCAGACCAGGTTCGAACCTGCCAGCCTGGGTACATGTGGCCAGCGCCCTACCCACTGACCTATGGTACCTCCCATACAGGTTATGAATCATATCTATTGTCATTTAGTCTTACGTATTTTATGATCCTCAGGTTTATCATTTTCCAAATATATGAATTTTGTTGTGAACCCTTATTTTGTCTTTTTAAAATATTTTAAATTAGAAAAGAGGGTCTCAGAGAAATTAACTTGGTATTTGTTAAGACTTTCATCATAGCCAAGTACCTGGTCAATTTTGTAAAGTGTCAAGTGTGTTTCAAAAGAAAGTTTATTCTTTACCAATTGAGAACAAGGCCTTAAACTCTTCCAGTAACTCTTTATAATTATGGATTACTCTATTTCTTTTCAACTCGGTTAATTTTTACTTTATATAGGACCACAATGTAAGGTGCATCAAGGTTCCTAAGCTACTAATTGCTCATATTTCTACTGTGGTTATGTATAGTCCTCTTTATATTTAACAATTGCCTTAGAATCTTTAGTTGTTTTTAATTTGCTAATATGTGCCTTTATATCCTTGTATCCTCCTTCACTTGCAAAATTTGTGTTGTTATATTTCAGATGGGGTCTTATAAGTAGAATATAGATGAATTTTCTGCTTTTATTCTGTATGTGTAAGGGTCTCTTTTGTCATGGAAGTTTAA